AGACATTCATACAGCCAACAGACACATGAAAAAATGCTCATCATCACTGGCCATCAGAGAAATGCAAATCAAAACCACAATGAGATACCATCTCACACCAGTTAGAATGGCGATCATTAAAAAGTCAGGAAACAACAGGTGCTGGAGAGGATGTGGAGAAGTAGGAACACTTTTACACTGTTGGTGGGATTGTAAACTAGTTCAACCATTATGGAAAACAGTATGGCGATTCCTCAAGGATCTAGAACTAGATGTACCATATGACCCAGCCATCCCATTACTGGGTATATACCCAAAGGATTATAATTCATGCTGCTATAAAGACACATGCACACGTATGTTGATTGCAGCACTATTCACAATAGCAAAGACTTGGAATCAACCCAAATGTCCATCAGTGACAGATTGGATTAAGAAAATGTGGCACATATACACCATGGAATACTATGCAGCCATCAAAAAGGATGAGTTTGAGTCCTTTGTAGGGACTTGGATGCAGCTGGAATCCATCATTCTTAGCAAACTATCACAAGAACAGAAAACCAAACACCGCATGTTCTCACTCATAGGTGGGAACTGAACAATGAGATCACTCGGACTCAGGAAGGGGAACATCACACACCGGGGCCTATCATGGGGAGGGGGGAGGGGGGAGGGATTGCATTGGGAGTTATACCTGATGTAAATGACGAGTTGATGGGTGCAGCACAGCAATATGGCACAAGTATACATATGTAACAAACCTGCACGTTATGCACATGTACCCTACAACTTAAAGTATAATAATAATAAATAAATTAAAAAAAAAGAAAGTTAATTTACTAAGTATATTCTTTGTAGCTGTTTTGACAAATTGCATGTAATATTCTTTTACAAATCTAGTGAAAAAAATCTATCCTAATATGAAATATTGGCAGATGACATTCATGCAAGCAGCAGCTAGGGATTATAGGAAAGTGATTTTTTTTAAGGTGCCTGTTATTATGCTATCAAAGGCTTAAAATATTAGAATGAGTGATTTTTCTTTAAAAGACTTTGTTTGGTAAGAATACATAATATGTTTCTTCATCTGTATGTAATGTTAGCACTTCATTACTAAATTAATTTGTATATGAACATCTAGATTCTCCTCAAAAGAGAGGATTCTAATATCAAGAAATCTAGATTCTTACGGTAAAACAAACAAAGACATCAACAATAAGAATAGATTGGTACTATAAGTTATAAGCTTAAGAGCTAGGCTTGGTTTAAATTATGGCTTCACTCAAATCCAGCTGCGTAGCCTTGGGCAAACTGCTTAACTTTTCTGAGTCTTAAATTCTACTTATGTAAAAGCAGTGAAACAATACATTTACCCAGAGGGTTGTTGTAAAGAATAAATGAAACAAGATATGCAAAGTTCTTATCACAGGACATAGTACATATTTGGTGCTCAATATGTTTTAGTTCCTTGTAATTCTTCCTTATATATGCAGTTTTTAATTTAGAAAAGAGTAGGTATTGCTTAAGGATGACTTGCTTTCATCAGAAACTATACCAGTGCACTAAACAGATGGAAAGAAAAATCATCTTTATAGCTTCACCCCTTAATATCTCACTTCAATCCCTCTCCTCAGCTCTTTACTATAGAGGGAGGGTTACATTCATCCCTTTCTCCTCCATATTTCTGGCTCTGCCCATGGTAAGGTAGCTATTTCTACCCAGCAATAAATAGTACAGTATTGACTTGCTTTTTTTCTTTGGTTTTAACCCTCTAGAAGGAAGATAACTGGTAAGTAAAATGGTTCATACTTCAAAGCCCCACTCTGACCTAACACACATCAGCTCCACATACCTCCTTTGGTACACCCCAAACCTGTATTGGTTCTATAAATGATCCTCTCTACCTGTCTAGGGTACCTGTCTTGGGCACCTTATGTCTCTGGAGAAAATCAAATTACTTCAGCAATTGGTAATTGCACCAGATTTATGATCTCCAAGCTCTGTGGGGCCTTCACTACTGCTGAGTTATCCCGAGTCTTCTATCACCACCCTTTTGTATCTCTTAGCAGATTATGGTCTCTTGAAGTTATCAGACAGTTTTCGACTTCCATACTATCTACAGAACTATTTATACCTGTACTTGTATTTTAATCCTCCCCTCTTGACTCAGAATAATGGTGTCTCTTATGTTCATTAAGGGCAGCTAAGTCACCAAGAGCACTGAAATGAATACTTGAAAATTTACAGAAGTAGTAGATGCCAAAATTGTGTGCGATTGACATGGCTTTTCAAACTGAGTATCTCTCTTTGTAACATGTTCCATTTGGTCTTTGGAAAATTCTTAATTGTATGCTGCACATACATTCATTTGCTGTCTTTTCAGTTAAGTTTATACTTCTAAACACACTGTTTGTAGTCTAAAATTTAACACATTAGTTTATGCTCTAGTCCAACATTTTATTCTTTAATTATAAGAGACCACCTAATGAAAATATATTTCTTTCAGTAGATTAGCCTGTGTTTTTTTTAAATAACAAAACAAAAAACAAGCCACCTAGCTTTCCTAGCTGTGACAGATGTCTGTTTTCAAAAAAATAATCTTAAATAAACTACCAGTTTTTCATAACTGAGTGCATTAATTACTTCACCTTAAAATGTGTATAAGATAATGCCTTAAATTCACGGGCAAAAAGAGCAAATGCTTGAAAAAGATTAAAAGAACACAATTTACAGATATTGGCAAAAACTTAGAACTCCAGCTTCTATGAACTTTCCCAAATAAATCTACAAATCTCATAATACAGTGCCTGCTACTGAGAAAGTATATACTCAGTAAACCATAGCTATTTATCTTCTGTGTCAAGAATTGTTTCCACAATTTGAATCAAGTGTTATATGGAACTTTGTACCACGATTTTATCTCTTAATAATCTTAAATACAAACTCTTATAATACTTTATGGTAACTTATCTCATAGAAATTACAGAATGGAAATCAATGTTATCTCTGATTCTATGAAATGAACTAGATTTATGAATTGGGAGCAGCACCCAAACAACATAATGACTACTACAAAAAAAAAAAAGTCAATATTTTGAAAACTAGTTTTATTACAAATGAAGTAATTTTTCAAAATTTAAAAAGGTTAAAATAGAAATTTTTAAAAACTGTAGATAAAAATGTCATTTTCAAATCCCCATGTTGTTCTTACTGAAATTAACTAAGGGTAATTTAATATAATAATATTGTCACTGAAGTTTTAATAATCAAAACTCTAACAGTTGAGAAAATAAATTGTGTGTATGTTTCAATTTTGCACCTATGTTATTATCAGCCTCAGGTAGTAAGCTTTACTCAGGATAGCAATCCATCAATAATGCATCCTGAATATTTACTAAATTACTATATTATTTGACCTCAATCTCCTATCTTAATAGTTCTTCACTCCTTTTTCAACTCCTATCCTTTAACCTCACAGAGCTATCCACCACTTTAATTTTTTTATTTTTTCTCAGTTTACTGGTCCCTTTTCATCTTGTTCTTTAGCCAGCTTGAAACTAATGACTGTTCATTTGAACTATTTGCTCACCAATGTCTTTGATTTCTTATAGTGCAATTCTTCAGGTGCAACTCTTCAGCAAAATCCAAATCCAAATCCCAGATAAATACTGCATCTGGTCTCTCAACTCACACCTAGGGAATGAAGCTCTGTGAGAAAGGAACTCACACACACTAAGAGCAACTTCTAAGTAGTCAGTTTCCACACTCAGCTAGTCACTGTCCTTTAATCAACTTCCCCTCTCATTTCTCTCAAAAAACTTCTCAATCATCACCATCTGCCTCCAAGTCCTTAGTTGCCTTTAGCTCCTCATTTTGACAGGTTAGATAGCCCTCAGTCTCCTAATAAAATTGAGTTCATTAGGTGTGTTCTCCCTGCACAGTTATACCACAGCCAGACCTAGAAAGCAAACCCACAGTCACAGCCATCCTCACCCTGTGCCTTTTTCCTACTCTCTTCAGTTCTGCTCTCCCATCTATAGCAGAGGTTGGCAAACCTGTGGGTCAAATCTGGCTTGCTACATGTTATCATAAACAAAATTCTTATCAAAAACAGCCATGTCCATTTGTTTATATATTTTCTGTGGCTGCTTCAATGCTACAAGGGCAGAATTGGGTAGTTGGGTAGTTGCTACAGATATCTTATGGTCCTCAAAACTTAAAATATTTACTAGCTAGCCCTTTACTGGAAAAGTTTCCTGATCTCTGATTTATATCCTTGACATCCTCCTCTTTCCTAAATCTTTTCCTTCAGCCTGAAAATATAGTCAACTATGTTCTAGTCTGAAAATGTTAGTTTAGGGTGTTTTGGTTTTTTGTTTTGTTTTGCTCCAACTCTCTCCAGGTGTATACCAATTTCTCTCTAGCCTTCCTCATAAAACTTGTCCAGGGAGTATGTCATATTCTCTTTATCCACTTTTTTTTTTTTCATTTCTTTTTTCCTGTAACCTGATTTTTGCCCTACTACTTTGTTGAAATTTGCTCATATTAAAATTAATGATGAGCTTCTATCTGTCAAAGTTAAATTTTAAATGTCTAATCCTAAACTAATTGACTCATTTTTAGGCACACTCCCCTTAAAACTCTGTCATCCAGCATTCTTAGCAAAGAGCACATAGCAGGATCATTTCTAGAGGCTTCCAACTTTATGCTGTCACTAACCGGAATTACTCTTAATTATTATGTTATTATTATACTCTTAATGTTATTATACTCTTAATATATTATTATACTCTTAATAATTATATGAAGTTGTTGCTTCAGATATAAGGGATTAATTTTACTACTCCAGTCTGAGAAAACTAATCAAGTCACCACAATATTGTAGTAAATGGGAGAAGAAAAGCTACTGGAGATATCAGTTAATACACAACCTCAACCCTCACCATATAGGATGCAAACAAACACTTGCCCTTGAAGAACACATTCGCCCCAATTACCCTTCCTTCTCTCTCTTCTAGGGTCATCACCATCATCTATTCACTAGCGAAAACTGACCAAAAGATGTCCAAGACACCTTGGAGTGCAAGGCTTTCTCAGTTATCTCCTAAAGTGAAGAATAACAACCACATAAGGAACACAGGGCCTTTATTTCTCTTGGAAAATTGACATTCCTATGGACTAATGATAAAAATGTTTCTGGAAAATGTGTGTGATACCCTTTTAGAGATGCAGATGATTAATCACAATTTTAACTTCTTATAATGATGATTGGCACAGGATAAGCAAATAGAAATCAAATGTAGAAACCAATAACACATGTTCACTTATTTAATATGGAACTTCCATATTCTTGAATATAAACCAGCACATTAATGAGCAAAAGTATAATAAAATTGAAAGAACATAATCAGCTTTCTTTTAGGGTAGGAAGACAGCTAGTTAGGATTCTTCCTCACTTATCAATTACAAGAGCCATGAAACTAACAAGAAGAAACAAATATGCAAAATCACTGATAATTGCAGTCAACATTTTACAAGTACCTGGAAGGGGGAAAAAAACCCCTTTTTAGTTCTATTGTGGTAGGGATGAATTAACTGTCTCTATCTGACATCTTTTTTGATTTTTAAAACTAAATAAAATCAGTTAGAAAGCTAGTGGAAAGACACATATGTTGACTTCTACTCTGTATCCCTATCAAGGATTCATGGGATCTTTGCCTCTAAGTAAAGCAGCATAGCAGCCATGGATCTCACATGGGAAAGTTCTTCCAGATTAGAACAGAGATATCCCTTTCTCATACCTCTACCTCACACTCTCTCGTCCCACAAAATCTCAATTTTGGGAAGGACTTTAATATTGATGCTCTGATGTCCCACCTAAGTACAATTAAGATGTAAAGGTTGTAATAATACAATTAATAAGGTAGATGTAATAAACATGAATGAAAACTTTTATTCCATAGAAAATATACCTTTTTTTCCCCTCCAAATTCCTAGTTTAATAAGGACTTTTTATTTTGAGGAAAAGAGGTCCCAAACATCAAGCTGTTCACAAAAATAACCCACAGTATCAACTTTAGAAAACAAATATTAAGACTGTAACACTATTTTTCTAGAGGATGCATTTGACATGCTAACTCTCATTCACAAAAATACATTGTTACATTTGTGTTGAACCTCCCCACACATCACACTTATGTGGGGGTGTAACACACATACTTGTAACTCATAGCTGCTTTCAGGAGCTACTCAACTAAATGAGATTGCCTTTGCGGTTAGGGAAGCAGCTATTGAACTTACGTATGAATGGAAAGAACTGTACTCCCTGCATAACAAGAGATTATTCTGGAGACAGTTGATGAAAACTATACATCCTTTTTATTGTTAAGTCATAAAGATGTATCAAAATTAAAAGCAAAAATTGCATTCTTAACAAAACTAGTAGGAGAATCAAAGGAAGTGAAAATGGGAATAGGCGCAGGGCAATAAGAGTTAATGAACATGGGAAGGACAAGGATGAGGAGAACAGTGAGCCTGTGCTGAAGATACTAGGAGAGTGTGTGTCCGGAATTGGTGGGTTCTTGGTCTTGGTGACTTCAAGAATGAAGCCGCGAACCCTCGTGGTGAGTGTTACACTTCTTAAAGATGGTGTGTGTGGAGTTTGCTCCTTCAGCTGTTCAGACATGTCTGGAGTTTCTTCCTTCTGGTGAGTTCTTGGTCTTGCTGACTTCAGGAGTAAAGCTGCAGACCTTCATGGTGAATGTTACAGCTCTTAAGGCGGTGAGTCTGGAGTTGTTCATACCTCCCAGTGGGTTTGTGATCTCGCTGGCTTCAGGATTGAAGCTGCAGACCTTTGCCATGAGGGTTACAGCTCATACAGTGGGCATGGACCCAAAGAGTGAGCAGCAGCAAGATTTAGTGCAAGGAGTGAAAGAACAAGATTTCCACAGCGTGGAAGGGGACCCAAGCGGGTTGCCACCACTGGTTCAGGCAGCCTGCTTTTATTCCCTTATCTCACCCCACCCACATCCTGCTAATTGATCCATTTTACACATTGCTGATTGGTCCGTTTTGACAGGGTGCTGATTGGTGCATGTACAATCCCTGTGCTAGACACAGAGTGCCGCTAGACACAAAAGTTCTGCAAGTCCCCACTAGATTAGCTAGACACAGAGCACTGATTGGTACTTTCACAAACCTTGAGCTAGACACAGGGTGCTCATTGGTACCTTCACAATCCTCCAGCTAGACACAAAGTGCTGATTGGCACATTTATAATCCTCCAGCTAGACATAAACGCTGTAGGAGTCCCCACCAGATTAGCTAGATACACAGTGCTCATTGGTGCAACCATAAACCCGGAGCTAGACACAGAGTGCTGATTGGTGCATATACAATCCTCCAGCTAGATACAAAAGTTCTCCAAGTCCCCACCTGACTCAGGAGCCTCAGGCATCGCTGGCTGCAGGTCCTGAGGCCAGCCCCATGGGGAGGCAGCTGAGGCCCAGTGAGAATTTGAGTGTGGTGCGGGCGGGCCAGTAGTGCTGGGGGACCCGGTGCACCCTAGGCAGCTGCTTGCCCAGGTGCTAAGCCCCTCACTTCCCGGGGCCAGTGGTGCCCACCGCTGCTCTGAGTGCAGGGCCCGCCAAGTCCACGCCCACCCGAACTCACTCACGCTGGCCAGCTAGTGCAGCCGGCAGCCCCAGTTCCCGCCCACGCCTCTGCCTCCACACCTCCCAGCAAGCAGAGGCAGCCGGCTCTGCCTCGGGCAGCCCAGACAGGGGCTCCCACAGTGCAGCAGCGGGATGAAGGCTCCTCAAGCGAGGCCAGAGGGGACGCCAAGGCGGAGGAGGCACCAAGAGCGAGCGAGGGCTGCCAGCACGCTGTCAGCTCTCAAGAGGATCTGGTGAAAAATTTGATCTCAGACAAGTGCCTAGGTAAAGAAATAATGGGATAAAATTTCTAAACCTCACTATGTGCTTCAGAGTCATCCTCACCATTGGCGCTGTCTCCGTCATCCTCTCCTTCCTCGGCCTCTTTTTCTTCATCCTTGATCAACTCCAGCTGGTCATCCCCCCAGTCTTCATTATCATCATCATCCAGTGGGTCCCCCTCCTCAGCAGGGTTATTTGCACCCCCCTCAGACTCCAACTTCAAATTAGTCTCATCTTTCTTCAAGGAGCTGCTGCTCTGCTCCTCTTCTGACTTATTTTTCATCTCTACTGCTTGTTTGCTCAGTTCCTTTTCAATTTTTTCCAGGTTTTCCAGGAGATAATCCATTTTTTGTTTTATCTGGGTCAATTCCTTCTTAACAGCCTGAAGGTCATCTCCTTTCAACTTTCCAGACTTGGAAGATACCCGCTGTCCACTCTTAAAATTGAAGCCACTTTTTTCCCTTCTTGAGGTGTTTCCTGATACACACGGATGTTTCGAGGGCACTACACCTCCAGCAATAAGAGGAGGAGGAGGTACACATGCTGGGTAACTGTACCTCCTATTACAATAATCCCGCTGAAAATCATAGTCCAGGTCAAAAGAAGAGCGGTACATCGCTGCAGATTGTTTCACGCCTGCTTTTCCTCCGTTCAGTTTTGGTGCTGCAGTCAGGTTAATATCTAAAACCTGACCAGCAATCATTCTGCCATCCTCTCCTGCAGCCTGGGCATTTCTCTCATTAACATATTGAATGAAGCAAAGCCCTTATGAACAGAGCAGCCCACAATTTTGCCATACTTCGGAAAGATTGCCTCCACATCAGATTTCTTGACCACAAGAGTGTTGAGATTTCCAGTGAATACACGGGTGTTCATGGAACGAGGATCTGTCTTGTTGGTAACGTTGCTGGCCATAGTGTTTGATGATAGGGTTTCTCAGAAAGCCAAAAATGTAGCTGAAGATCCAAAAAAATCTCATAGGAGTGGGGAGGGAGAAGAGATCTGATTCTGAGTCTCATACTCCTGGGTTCTAGGTGGAGAACCCGACTGCTGCTCTAGGTGGGTATTGCAGCCACAACTGCTCAGTCTTTTTCTCTTCACAAAAAGAAAATATGCCTTCTTTTTAACACATCATGGAACTATACAAAATTTTATCATTTATTATGTCACAAAAAGTAGGTATATATTAAGGGCGAAATTCTCTGACCACAGTGATTTAAAGCTAGAAACTAAAACTAGCCTAAAACTAATGTGTTGGAATAAAACTAAATACATCCTAGCCTTTCAAAAATTGCATAAAAAGGAAATAAAATCGACCACTTAGTCATAAAATAAGAATGTAATATGTTACATTTATGGGACACTTTCAAACATATTCAGAGAGTAATTACTAGACTTAAAGCACTATGGTTATTTCTGAAAGAATAAAAATAAGGTGAGTCTATATATCAAGATATTAGAAAAAAATGCAATCAAAATAAAAATAAAATAGAAAGAATTAAACAGTAAAAAGAAAATCAGAAAATAATTACAGCACAAAAACTAGTAAGAAATAGAACACTTGGTTCTTAAAATAGACAATGAAATAGATGAACTTCTCAGATCTAATGAAGACAAAAATAATATATACGTTGGGACTAAGGAAAAGAATATAACCACAAATACAAAGAAACTATTTTAAAATGGTAAAGGAATTATATATATATATATATATATATATATATATATGTTACTCTGGATTACCTACAAACATAAACTAGGAACTATAAAACATAAGGAGGATGCTTTGTCACAAAAGCAAAGACTAGGGTTTGTATGCAAGCTATACTGTGTACTAGTTATAGATAAGTTACTCAACTGCTTTGAGCCACATTTTCTTTGTCTGTAAAATAAGAATTGAAAATATCTTTAATAATGTTTTCAGAAGTATTGCTTATGTCATTGTCATCATTGTTGTAATTCTCTTTTCTTCCTCCTCATTATTAATATTCACTACCTTGGAGGAAAACTTGATATGTACCTGAACAAGTTGAAACTTAAAAGCTATTTTTCCAACCAATACTTTAATCCATCCATAAGAACCAGGTGCAATGCATACCATTTACCTTATTACTTATTTTTCCCCAAATGCAAGTATTAGCAACATTCATTGCATCTGAGAATATAAAACCTTAATGACATATCCTCCAAGGGAAAAAACTCTCGCCCAACTTATAAGACTCGCAAGGATTGATTCCACTTAATAATGAATGTAGTGCTCTTAGAGTTATATAATTGTCATTAAACACATAGGTATCAAATTTAAAGAAAACCAAGAAGCAGAGCTAAACAACGTCGATACTAAAAAAATGAAAAGTTAGGAATTTTTTTCTCTCACTTATCAGTAAATCTGAAGGCTTAATATAAGCCTGGAAGATTCTAAAAACAAGAAGGATGCTTTATTTGTATTAGTCCTTAAAAATCTTAGAATGAGTTAAAAATAAAAAACAGTAAAACTGGAGCTCTCAGATTTATGTATGTCCTTAGGCTTTTTCTTACAGTTTTAATGTGGATTATTATTGTCAGAGTAAAGTGAAATGGGAAAGCAAAATGTAAAATTCAATTTGCAACCCCTAACATTTTCTTATTTTAGACCTAAGTAACAGTTATTACCAACTTAAAATTTGTGTAACAGAATCTATCCAGGGAAACAAAAACAAGCCATTTTGGTGCACAATTGCAAAATGCCAAAAAACTAATAACTTTGTTTACTTATCTTCTTGTATTAAGATTTTGACCCATTTTGAATTCATTAATATAAATATTTAAAGCACAAGATAACAGAGAGATTAAATAAATACACAGACAGAATATAGTTTTCTACTCTCAAGAAACTCACAGAAGATTTCAGCGGAAAAGAGAAAAATCAATTATAAAACTATGTAATAAAGGTATACTGTACCTATATATCTATATACTATCTCTATTCTATATATCAGAGGATGTTCTATATAATATATAGGATAGAGATATATTTAAA